GTGAGAATGAGGTTATTGAGAGCTGATAGTGGAGAGATGCTTATCTCAAGAAGTTGCTGCATACTCTAAACCCCCAAGAGAACCAAAGGGAGAACTTTGTTCCATACAAGGTGCACTATCAAAGGAAAAGTTTGTTCAATGATCATTGATAGTGGGAGTTGTACCAATGTTGCTTCCACCAAACTTGTGGAGAAATTAGGGCTGTTGGTTGTGGATCATCTCACCCGTACAAGCTACAATGGTTAAGCAATGGAGACACCATACAAGTAGTCAAGCAGTAGTGGTACCTCTCCATTGGAGGAGCTATTCGGATGAGGTACTTTGTGATATCATTCCCATGGATCTTGCAATCTTTTACTTGGAAGGCCATGGCAATATGATAGAGAAGTGATCCATGATGGCCGCAAGAATACATACTCATTCAAGCTCAACAAGAAGTCTATTACCCTTGCACCCTTAGCCCCCCCCAGCCATTATCCAAGCCCCACACAAACAACTTCCAAACACTTTCCCAAATACCATCCAGGCACCAACCCGTAAAACCGTCTTCCTAATAGCACCAATTAGAAAAGTTTTCCTAAAACACAAACCTCTCATTGCCCTCCTCATAGCCGAGACAAACCAAGAGAGAGAGCAACCTGAATTTCACCCAAAAGTTCACCACTCTCTGGATGAATTTGCGGATGTTTTTCCTAGTGAGTTACCAAGGGGTTTGCCACCACTTAGGGAAATAGAACATCATATTGATTTGGATCCCGGTGCACCTCTTCCCAATAGGCCAGCATATAGTGCAATCCCAAAGAGTCAAGAGACTTCAAGACAAGTTGAGGAATTGATTCCATGGGATTTGTGAGAGAAAGCATGAGCCCTTGTTCAGTTCCAGCCTTGCTTGTACCCAAGAAGATGGCACTTACCGATGTGTATGATAGTCGGCCATCAATCGGATAACTATCAAGTATAGGTATCCCATTCCACGGTTATGACATGTTGGATGAGCTTCATGGTGCAACCATCTTCTCAAAAATTGATCTAAGAAGTGGTTACCATCAGATTAGAATGAGAGAGAGATGAATGGAAAACGGCATTCAAGATCAAAGGAGGATTGTATGAATGGATGGTGATGCCTTTTGGCCTTTCCAATGCACCAAGCACCTTCAGGAGGTTAATGAATGAGGTACTCAAACCTTCATTGGAAAATTTGTGGTTGTATATTTTGATGATATATTGTTATAGTACTTGTGAGGATAGTCATGTAGAACACCTTAGCTTAGTGCTTGAATTATTGAGGCAAAAGAAGTTGTATGCTAAGCTTGAAAATGTGGAGCTATTTATGAAACAATTGGTGTTCTTGGGTTATTAGTTTCGGGAGAAGGAATTAAGGTATATCAATCCAAGATAGAATCCATTCAAAATTGGCCTAAACCTGGTTCAATTATGGAAGTTAGGAGTTTTCATGTTTATCCTCTTTCTACCGTAGGTTTGTCCCTAATTTTAGTTCCATATGGCTCCCATAACTGAATGTTTGAAGAAGGGATCTTTTGAGTGGACTAGGCAGCAAATGAAGCTTTAATTTGATTAAAAAGAAGTTTGTGAAGCTCCCATCCTTACCTTACCCGATTTCAACCAAGTGTTTGAAGTAGAATGTGATGCAAGTGGTGTTGGCATTGGGGCAGTTTTGAATCAATCCAAGAGGCCAACAGCATATTTAGTGAGAAGCTTAGTGATTCAAGGAGAAGTATAGCACTTATGATAAGGAGTTTTATGCTATAGTGAGAGCACTTGACCATTGGAGTCATTACCTTCGGCCGAAACAATTTGTCCTCCATTCAGACCACCAAGCTTTGAGGTTCATCAATGGGCAGCGTAAACTCAACACAAGACATGCTGAGTGGGTTGAGTTCATCCAATCCTTTTCTTGTTCTGAATTACAAACAAGGATCACACAATGTTGTAGCCGATCACTCTCTAGAAGGTATGCCTTACTTTCTTTGCTTGATTCTAGAGTTCTAGGTTTTGAATTAATGAAATTGTGCTATATGAGGAAGATTTGGAGATGAAAACATGCATAACTGAATGTGGGAAACCTGGTTTTGAGAATTATATTATGCATGATGGGTACTTGTTCAAGGGTAGAAGATTATGTGTCCCTAAGGGTAGTTTTAGAGAACTAATTATGAGGGAGCCATAGTGGTGGGTTGGCAGGCCATTTTGGGGTTACTAAGACTTTAGAACCTCAAGGAATATTTTTATTGGCCTAAAATGTTAGGGGATGTTCAAGCTCTTATTAGAAGGTGTGGATCATGTCAAAGAGCTAGAGTCAATTCAAGGCCGGACCTTACCTACCCTTACCCATAGCCGAGCACCCTTGGGAGGATCTTAGCATGGATTTTGTGGTTGCATTGCCTAGGACACAAAGAGGAAAAGATTCCATCATGGTAGTGGTTGATAGGTTCTCAAAAATGGCCCTTTCATATCATGCCATACCACACATGATGCCTCCAAAATTGCCGAATTGTTCTTTAGAGAAGTGGTGAGACTTCATGGTATTCCGAACCATGTCTCGGATAGGGATACAAAATTCTTGAGTCATTTTTGGAGAAGTTTATGGGTAGACTAGGGACAAATTAATGTTTAGCACCTCACACCACCCGCAAACCGATGGTCAAACCGAAGTGGTGAATAGAGTGTTGGGTAATGTCCTAAGGAGTTTAGTGAGTAAGCATTTAAAGGATTGGGATTTGCAATTGCACATGCTGAATTTACCTACAATAGGAGTCCTAGTTCTACTACGAGTCACACTCCTTTTGAGGTGTTGTATGGAGTAAACCCACTTATCCCTTTTGATCTCACCTTCCCTTCCCCTTGATTTTGAGCCAAGTGTGAATGCTAATGAGAAGTTGAAAGAAATGAAGAAACTCCATGAAACCGTGAGAGCTCAAATAGAATATTCAAATGAGAAGATCAAGAATAAGGCAAACAAGCATAGAAAACCTAAGCTTTTCCAACCGGGGATTTAGTTTGGATTCACTTGAGAAAGGAGAGGTTTCCAAGTAAAAGGAAGAGTAAATTAGCTCCTAGGGCTGATGGACCTTTTGAGATTGTTGAGAGGGTAAATATAATGCTTATAAGGTGGAGTTGCCTAGTGAGTATGGGGGAGTCTCGGCCACCTTCAATGTGGGGGATCTAAGCCCATACTTGGAGGACGACTTGGATTTGAGGGCAAATCCTTCTCAACCCAGGAGGATGATACGTTTACAAGTCCTAAAACCTTGTAAACATGAGTGGACAAGGAATTACAAGTCCTAAAACACTCGTTAATTCGATTGAATCAAAGAATTCATTCCAGTCCTAAAACACTTGGATTGTAGAGTGTGGAAAGCATTGGAGGAGATTCGACCCAAGCAAGTCCCAAGGGAGAGAGAGCCCAAGCACTTCGGCCCAAACCATTCCAAGTCCAAGCCCAACAAAGGAAGCCCAAGTTCACCAGAGAAAGCCCAGTGTTAAGTAACCCATTCGGCCCAATGCTCATTCCAAAGGGGAAGTCCACTTGAACCCTTATGGATCCAATTGCAAGATCTTCAAGGCCCAATCTCTTGCACCCTTATTAGTAGACTTGATTAGGATCATTGATCAAGTTTTGGGCTAATAAAGTGAGTTTTTTCAACTAATAGGGTGGTTAAAGACATGAACCCTAGAATTAGGGATATGTCCCTTTTTGCATTAAATGGGTATGGCCTTAATTTTGAATGGAAGCTTGTAATTTTTGTGTAATATTTATTATTTTTCATTTTCTTGTAATGTATTTGTTGATTACTCTTTTAACCTTGTAATTGCCTATATAAAGGCAACTATTCTCCTTGTAAGGTAGTTCATGAAAATTATCAAAAACTTGGTTTAACCATTGAGAGAACTTTGTGTTCTTATTGAGATTTCTTTATCCAAGTCTTGGCAAGGAGATTTGGTGGTGAATCGATTCAAGTTGGTGGAGAATTCCTTTATGCTTGAAGTGTTCATTCTTGTCTTAACCTAAAATTTGCAAGTAAGTGCAACATTCTTCCATTTGTGTTTGGCCGATTTGAGCTTAAGTTTAGGGCAATTTTTGTGTTGTTGTTTGTTGAAAATTTGGTTGGATTTGGATCATCATGTCTAAGGATCAGTGATACACTAACACGATCCTATGATTTATCATTGACTACATTCTAAATGTCCATGTGATTTATCGTAAATTGTCATATTTGATAAAAGTCTACTAACTATTTATCCATGCTAATGCCATAGTGACATAACTCTTATAATCACCCACACAATACTATCACATGATATTCAATAGAGACATTGCCCAATTAACATTACTTACATAGAGAATGCTTCGATGATTTGATCTTCTAAAGATCTGTATCATTCAGACATTTCACATATATTATAAATAATATAAATGAAGCAGTAAACATACATCTGAAATCAGAACTCTTTCTTCCATTCTTAAAATAATATTTACAAGATATAATATTTTGAAACCAACAACACGAATGATTCCTCGAACATATACTAACATATTCCTATATATAGAGTATCAATATAGAAAGGTAACAACAACCATCATTGCCACTCTAAAAGTGATCAAAAGCACATTCTTCTTGGTAAAACTGAATTGCATTGATTACTGTGTTATGAATAATGCGCATATTTTGCATATGATCGGCTCCTAGAATAGAAGCGAATGGATCGGGCATTAATGCTACACAGAAAAATCCTCCATTATATTGAATGTGCACAAACCTGCTATGTACTACGTAGTTTGCCCCTCGGAAATGATAGGTCAATGGTAGAAAATCTCTAAAATCTTGTCTGTGCATATAACAAAGTTTGAACGGTATACTTCTTATGCGAGGCACTCTCACGAGATTATAAGAATCATAGTGTAGACTAAATGTTGTTGTCACCAGTTCAAAAATATTGAGCCCACTCATGGCACTTGTGGTGAGTGTGGTAAATGGATTTCATGAATCTATGATGAAACCATGACCAAGTGTGGCGTCGAAGGAACCTGGTGGTAAATATAAGCGATAATTTCCAACACTTATATCTATAAGATCAAGATAATAAAGACTTCTGCGTACAAAACTTATAAAGGGCGTTGTTGGAATGTTTCCTTCAGGTAATTGAGCATCATCCCCAAACCTGAGTATATGAGGATGAACATCGAATGGATAATTTTGATCATAAGGAACAATACAATAAGAGAAAACACCACCAATGGTTTCATGCAATTGGCTCACTAGTGAGGTAGGATCTAAGTCTAATCCCAAGATCCCTGAAATCTTATTGGATGGTTGATTACCGAAGTAGAAATTTACGTTGTCATTCGAGCAGCCGAAGAGAACAGTAAATTCTTCGACTTCAAAGTTTCTATATATAAAATGAAATGATTCCGAGGAGAGATAACCTTTTGTTGGCCTAGAAGGACTTGGAGCATCACCATATGTTTGACTGTAGACGCAATCGCCATTAACACATTGGAAAACGCTGGATGGTTCATTGTAGTTACAAAGAGGGTGATCACAATTAACTCTATGGTAAGAAGAGGAAGCTTGTGAATTGTATATGGCATAATTTTGCTGGAAACAATTTATGCAAGGTTCACATTGTGTCCAACTCAAGCCACTACCAGTGTCCACCACTAAATACACAGAATGCACTGGGTGTCCAATCATCATATACGCAATATAGAATATATATTGACGGTCTGGAGCAGTCAGAAGCTTGTCATCACCAAATGTCATTAGTTTAGCTTTGGCCAGGGTGATATTAACCCTTCTTTCAACTCTTTCGTGGTGAGTAAGGTTAGGTTGATATAAAGGGGACTCACGAGAGTCTATTGGGATGAGCTTAATGCTGACTCCTTTTGATTTTGAAGCTCTAAAACTAAGTCTAGAAAATATAATTAGACTGAGAAGTACTACAGCTATTCGTAAGTACTGAGTCGCTTCCATTTCGGATGCTTGAGGAATTAATAGTCCCACCCAAGTACTTACAGTATTGGTCACAACAACCTTATAACTAACTTGAAAAAAAGAAAAAAATCTTTCTAATTAATTCCATCTAATTAGTATAAAACAGAAATTAACTAATAAATGATATAGAATAAGCTAATATTAGAATTTTGCTAAAAAAGAAAAAAAGAGTTAATAATTGATGTTAAACATTGATACAATCCATGTTAACAAATGATGTCTAAAAATGTTACGATGCTAACAATGTCTACTTTAAAGATAAAGGGCATGAAGCTTTAATCAAATTGATTAAATTTAACAGATTAAAATCAAGTGATAAAATGATACATAAAATAACTACTTATACCAATTCATTTACAACTGTTAGATTGAAATAAATCATATAGGATATCCTAACTCGACCAAATTGATTGAGCCGAGTGGAGATAGTTTGTGGGGAGGTATCCTGACTCGACCAACTTGAGGGACCCAAGTGGGGTCTTACGAAACTTGTGGAAGTGTAACTGTGTTTGTTTGGGCATAGCCGAGTGAGTATTTCACCTCAACTAGAGACGTAGGCCGAGCCAAGAAAGAATGGACGGAGGGGATGAGTATGAGCACGCCAGGACTTACATCTTGATGCCTGATGGAGAGTCTTTAGGGCCTCAAGGAGTTATTATAGCCCAACATGTTTGCTAGGAGGTGCAAGGTCGAGCCGAGTCAAGTGGAGCTAAGTCTAGTAAGAGTGGGGATGGACCAAGTGATAACTTGAATGAAGAGACTTCAACTGGTGGAGGTTAGGGGGATGAACCAAGCTGGTCGGGTGGAGGCATTCTTACAGCCGATTATCGGTCCAGACTCATGCCGAACGACGAATGGAGATTGAGGTATGCATACAAGATACTAGAGTCGACTCGCATTCGGATACTGAAGGTTCATGAGAGGATCGACTGGGATGTTCCTGGTTAGGTGGGCATGTATGAGCAACCCTACTTTGATGGGTTGAGGCTGTCAATTCCCCAGCTGGTCAGGGGAAGTTTTGCATCATTTTATAATAGCACCCTCCCAACTAATGTTGAATGGATGGAGACTGCTTATGGCCTTGGAGATTCTGAGTTCAAGGCACCGTGTGGAGTATGGGCTGCATGACCTCCTTTACTCATATCCCATGAAGGAGCATGATAAAGAGAAAGTGGAAAGATGCCTTTTTCTTCCTTAAAGGTGAAGATGTACTTGGGCCGAGTGGACCGGGGGACATTCCATTCTACTGGAAGGCCATGAGTGAGTGTTTTATCTTCTTGTCCTTAATACTTTGTTGACTGAATCTCATCTACTTGTCTTGTGCAAATGTCACTTACAATCGAGCTGGACAAAGCAGCGACCATCTTGACGAAAACACCAAGAAGATCCTAGCCATCCCCAAGAACGAGCGAGATTGAAGAGTGTTTATTTGACGAGCTGAGTCTGAGAGGGAGTCATTTTTGGGCGAACGTGAAGGAGATCTGGCAAGGTAGCCTGTTCCCTCCACTGAAGCGAATGTGGCATGTGTTGCTGACTCGTGGCATGTGTTGCTGACTCGATACTCCAACCATTTGTTGTATATAAATCCTCTTAACACCCAGAGAATTTTCACTTGCAGAGAGGTTAATGAAAAGTGGTTTCAAGCTTCCGAGTTCGAGTGAGGCCCTCGCAAAGCGCCAGGCCAAGAGGAAGAGACCGGTCATTGAGGAGCCTATTATTCCAGAACCGACTCGAGTGGAGGAAGAGGATGTTGTTACTCCACTGACTCGACCGATCTCGGGTGGAGCAAGGTCGTCTCAGTCGGTCAAATTGATGAGGAGACCAAGACGTTGACCGTCACCCTCCCTGCATCAGCCTCTGTCTATTCTAATGCCGCCTTGATGAGGAGCACACAACTACAAGGTTTTCCTCCTCGTTTTATGGAAAATGATCTTTGTGGGCCCCCACTTTCTCCAAATTGTACTACCATTGTTCTAATAGTTGATTATGAAAATGGAGATGGTAATGAGCATGAAATGAACTGGTCCTATGTAAGCATGGCACTTGGATTTGTGGTAGACTTCTGGAGTTTATAGGTCCTTTGCTTGTCAACAAAAAATGGAGGTCTGCTTATTTTAAATTCTTGGATCGCTTTAGGGACAAATGTAATAGTGTTGTAAAAAAATGTTGCTAGAGGTTTATTTTATTTTTATTTTAAGAGCTGTGTTGCCATGTGTACTTGAACAAAGTAACGCAAGCTTTACAGAGTAAAGCTATTTTGGTGAAGTAGTATATTCTTATTATTGGGTAAAGTAAAATGATGTTGTATATATACAAAGAACTATAGCTACGTACTTAACTAAACAAAACTAATCTAACCAACTAACTGCTTTACAACTCAGCAACTAACTAGTGTAACCAATTGAGCTGAATAAAACAATAAAATAATTTATTTGTATTTTATTCTGTACATTCCCCCTCAAGTTGGAACTTGATGGAAATCCAGCAAGCCCAACTTGGAAGTAAATTGATGAAACAAAGGACCAGATAAGGATTTGGTGAAAATGTCAGCAACCTGCAGTTTAGAAGAAATATGTTGAGGATGAACAAAACCAGCCTTAAATTGATTGTGAACCAAATGACAATCAATTTCGAGATGTTTGGTGTGCTCATGAAAGACAAGTTTGGCAGTGATATGGAGAGTAGCCTGATTGTCACACCAGAGAGGAATAGGAAGGTGAAGAGGAACATGAAAGTCTTGAAGAACATAGGAAATCCATTGCAATTCACAAACAGTAGAGGCAAGACTGCGATACTCAGCTTCAGTAGAGGATCTGGAGACAGTAGTCTGTTTCTTGGTTTTCCAAGAGATTAGAGAAGAGGCCAAGATAGACACAATAACCAGTTAAAGACTTCTTGGTAGTTGGACAAGAAGCCCAATCTGCATGACAAAATGCTTCTAAACGAAAAGAGCTATTGTAAAACCCCATTCTAATAATATATATATTCCCTTTGGTTTTGTTTATAAGGAGGGACTTTTCTGTCAAATTTTAAAGTTTGGTTAGTGGTGAAAATTAAGAAATGGAAACTGTTGGGTTTGCATGTAACAAGGGCACAAAATCTGGATGTTTTTGTAAGGAAAAGATGATGTGGCAGGGTTAAATTAGAATTAAGAGAATTTGGGGGCTGTTGTAAGAAAAAAAAAATTGTTTTATATAAATTTGGGTCGCTCACCCAAATGAAGAAGAAGAAAGTGGGGAGAAGAAAACCGAGAAAAAGAAAAGAAAGAGAGAAAGGAAGAGAGAGAAGGGAGAAAAGAAGAGAGAAAAGAAGGAAGAAGGAAGAGAGGACGTCGGCCGAAGGAGGAAGGGAAAGAAAAAGATAAATGAGGGAAAGAAAGTGAGGTGAAGAGAAGGATGGTGCTTGGGGCAGCTGGGTATTTCGGGTTGAGCTGAATTTTTTTAGTGTGAGTGGATCAAATGAAAGTTTTCTTAAAAAAATTCAGATTTATGTTTGCATGTTAAATATAGTTGGCCATTTTTGCTTTTTGATGAGTTTTGAGCTGAATTTGAAGCTTGCCGAACTTGCTTTCCTTTCCATGCTTTTGGATAAATGTTTGGTTGGTTAATTTGGTGCTTAAAATGGAGTGTATTTTGCTTGCATGTGTTCGGCTGAACATAGAAAAAGTGATACTGCATCAGATCTGGTCTTGTGTTGCATGTCATTAGATCTTTCTTAAAAGCTTAAGACTTATGTCTGCATGTTAATGTTTTGATGAGTTTTTGGATTATATGTGAAGTTTGTGTGAGTTGCTTGTTCTCCCATGCTTCGGCTGGATTTGGGATATATTTTATTGTAGAAGAATTGCTTTAAATTGGTCTCTTAATGATGTGTATTAGGTTGGGCAGTGTGTTGGTAAGTTGCTGGGATTTTGTTAAATAAGATATAATATGATATGAACAACTACGTTTGAATGCTATTTGTTGTAATGAGTAATAGTTTATAGAAATAGTAAGTCTTGAAAGTAAAAAAAAAAAGGTACTTCTCATTTATGATTGTATGACATTCCTTGGGATTAATGGTTTCTTTTATATATATAGGATTAAATTATTTATTTTTTTTGGTGATCATAAAATCTGGGTTTCATAATTATATTGATAAATTTCCTAATTTGGTAAAGGTTTCATGTTGTGACGTCTTTTTTTCTGGGAAGGTAGAAGTTAAGTGAGTAATTGAAAAGGGCTAAACTGCCAGTTTTGAAAACATTTTTTTTACAGTTTTAATTTTTCACGCATGTATTGATATATTCATGTTAAAGGAAATGTTACAATTTAGAGCTTGGAAATTGGTTGAACTGCATATGAGTTGAGATTTGTGATGTTGATATGATTTCCTGGTAATATTATAAATGTGGCGAATTTGTTAGTTTTGAGAATATGTTTTAAAAACTTGCAGTTTCACCCCTATATGTGACCTTTGAATATTATGTCATATATGTATGATTTATAAGCACATACGTAATATACTCTTGACTTACATGTTACATGAGATTATGCATGAGTATGTTGTGGTGCTAAAACCACCCTACGAAGTACCCATTTCCCCCAGTTTCAGGCTCTGCCCACGCGATGCAGGATTCCGCTGGGTATTGAGATATTTGGTCTTCAGGCTCTGCGCATGCGTATTGAGATATTTAGTGCTCTACCTGGGCGTTGAGTTTGTCCGCCAGGTATTGAGATGGTTTTCTTCAGGCTCTGCCCGCGCGATGATAGATCTTGCCGGGTATTGAGATGTATTTCCCAGCTCTGCCTGTGTGTGGGATGCCCACCAGGTATCGAGATTTTTCCCCAGGGTACTAGTTGTGGTGAGAACCTTTAGTATCAGTTTACTGCTTCGAAACAGGATATCAGTTTAAAGTTTTCAGATACCAGCCTACAGTTTTCAGTATCAGTTAATAGCTTCAGTTTTCAGTATCTGATGGATAGTTTGCATTAGTTATA